AAAGTGATGTGACATGTGGCCAAGTATGGTGACCCATACTTGGAATTAGTGCTCTGCATTTATCCCATCCTAAGTGCACACACACAGCAGTGAACACACACACACACCGTGAACACACACCCGGAGCAGTGGGCAGCCATTTATGCTGCGGCGCCCGGGGAGCAGTTGGGGGTTCAGTGCCTTGCTCAAGGGCACCTCAGTCGTGGTATTGAAGGTGGGAGAGAGCGCTGTACATTCACTCCCCCCACCTACAATCCCTGCCGGTACGAGACTCGAACCCGCAACCTTTGGGTTATGAGTCCGACTCTCTAACCATTAGGCCACGACTTTCCTGTCGTGGCTGTGCGGTTTGGACGCGGCGTCCGTCAAAAATATAGACTAGGCGCCTGTCTTTAGCGAAGCTGGGACGCTTTTGAAACGTGCCGCGGCGCGTCTGGTGTAAACACAAGCATTGACTAGAATGACCGCGATCAGTTCCGGTAGCCGCAGACGTGTGCATTGTAAGGGGTGAGGCGGTGGTCGCGTTGCGGTCTCGGACGTTGCCATAGTTACAATTGTCAACATCACCTTTGTATTTACTAAAAACTAAATAAAACATTACGGAAATTTGTGTTATTCTGCCATTAATTGTCGTCATTATTTACCCTTTTTTTTCGTTTGGCACAAGAGACGTTGTTTTTATTGATTTGCCTAAAGAGCATACCTGTGATGTTACAATTTAATTAAATATAATTTTATTTATGTCTCTGTATGAGATTTTAGATGGGTCATACAGTTCTGGGAAATCTATTACACTTAAAACAATATTCTCTATTTTTCCAATAGGCAGTTCAGTTAAATGTTCACTGATTGGTTGAAACCGACGCGTTTTGCCGCTTTCCGCATGTCTCCCATTGAACTAGACACTCGCGACTGCCGCGTACCGTGTGAAAGGGCATTTAGAAGAGCCGGCTATTACGGCTCCCAAATGGCTCTTTATTTAGTATCACTCTAGAGTCTTCTATTTTAGCCCAATTTAGCAATTGTGAATGGTTTGTGTGTTGGTAAGCAATTTTTTATTCAGTGTTTTCATAAAAGTCTTATTTTTATGCTTTTTTCCGACACAGATACTATTATTTAACATTTTAATAAAACTTTAATAAAACACAGGTTGGCATTTAGAAATATCAGATGCCTCAGCTTGGGTGTGCTGATGCGATTTCTCCTCTCTGTGATTATTTGTCCTGTTTTGAGAAGACTCCCTCTGAGGGGACAGATGTTGCAACTCGCTATCTTCGGAGCGTGTGTCCCCCTTCCTTCTTTCATATAATGGTATGATCCTAGTCTGTCCTCCGCATGTGTATTTTTTTTTTGTAACGAAAAAATGCATAAAAATAAGGCTTTTATAAAAACACTAAATAAAAAATGGCTTACCAACACACAAACCATTCACAATTGCTAAATTGGTGTAAAATAGAAGGCTCCGGTTGAAGATTCGGCTCTCCCCGACGGGAGTCGGCTCTTCTCGTTCGCGAACGACACATCACTGCTTTCCGCATGTCTCCCATTGAGAATGAACTAGACACTCGCGACTGCCGCGTACCGTTAATAACTATAGGGCCTCTAGAAGATGTTTAGGACCTTAATGGTTTCATTTTCAGGCTATAACGTATAAAATCAGACAATTTCTGGTTCACAGTCTTTTTTATCTTATGTAGTCAACTCGAATTGGGTTGAAAATCCGATGAAAAGATCTGTGATCTAATGTAGCAAAAGATGATCTGCATCTCAATCATGCAACAGCTAAAGCTATCGTGCTAACGCTAGCATCTATTCGCGCCAAACTGAGGAAGAAACGTTAAATAAAATATTTTACTTTACAGACATTGCAACCCAGTAGCATTGGCTAAGAAAAGAATCTCACATTGTAAAACAAATCATAGCAATTAATTACAATTCAATATTCTCGGTTCACTCGAGGACGACTTTCAGTATAAAGAGAGACTATCGGTTAACGGAGTGAATACATTTTCTGCATTATGACCATTATATATCCATCATATGACCGTATTTATAATCGACGGGTGAAATGCGAAGAAAAGGATTTGAAGTCTCTCATAAAGTGTAATCTTTAAATCTTACCTCCAAAGCGCAACTATACCGAAGACGTGGGCAAGCTCGCTGATAATGGATGATGACGGTATCAATGCCTCGTTTGAGGGTTGGGGGAGGGTCACATAAGCGCTCAACAGTCTGAGAGTTAGCGCCTCCTACCGTTTGACCCCAGTTAGTGACAGAAAGTCTGATTCATTTCTGCGAACCGGTTCTTTCGAGCCGGCTCAAATGATTCATATCTATTACGTAATCGCGTGATTACGTCAACGCGTGGTACCTTACGGTAAAACTTTGTAGTGTGTTGCAAAATGTGTAATATAATCAAGTCGTAAATATATTTTATATTTTCTGCACATATTATTTATAACATTTCTGCTATTTGGCGCAACTTACCTTTCGCCCCTATTACTCAAAAACCGGTCGGACCGATTCAGTGTGATCTGTGATCCGATTGGAAAAAACGATTCGTTCGCGAATCGGAAATAACTACCCCAGAAGTGCACATGACAAAGGTTGCATCCGGTGTCATTTTTTCTTTCCTTCCTCTGATTGTACTGCTAAGTTTACAACAAAATGCCCAATTATTTGAACTAGACATAACCAAATTTACACAGCCCAACTATTTACAAAAGAAGAGTTCATTTGCAAAAACAGATAACACCGTTTTTTAAAATGTTCAAAAATCATGTTTTTTAATGTATTTTTTTTTTATCCTGAATTCAAATTAATATCAATCAAACTGCAGTTGGGTTGTTTTGATTACATAACTAAAAAAATACAGCTAACACAAAACACAATAAAAACATAACACAATTAAAAAAAAACATGATTTAAGAAAATTAATAAATAATAAAAAAAAAAGGAGTCATCTGTTTTTGCAAATAAACTCCTCAAATATGGATTAAATCTGGTGCTGGCTTAAGATACATTCTCTTTTCCAAACCTGAAGATTCTAGAAACCTTCCCCCCCCCCAACAAATAAAAACTGCAAACGTTGACATTTCAGTATCATAAATAAACAGTTTATCACTTTCTGATTAATAATAAATGTTACATATTGTTTAACAGATCAGTAATGTACATTTAAATTGAAACATGTTAAGATATTAATTCAATTCATATGAAATCTATTTGAATGTACATTAATGACTTGTTAGTCCTAATGGCAAATGTGATTTTTAAATGCAATTAATGAACATTAGGAAAGTGTTACCCTAAAACAAACAAACAAAAATTGCCAGCTAATTTGCGAAGTTTGCAAGTGCTCTCAATTGGAAATATTTTAGAAAGTAGTTTTATTTGTATTGCATGCTCTTTAAATCAATTAAAGAACAACAGCATATTTCAAATGTTGCTTGAAGGTGAAACAAAAGGAAAATTAAACAATGCACTAAAATAAAAAGAACACTGTTCATGAACAACTGAACACAAATCACCCAAGGTCTGGTTTATTCATATAATAATATTAATAATTATCTTCTCCAGAGAAAGGCAACGAAACACAGACTCATTCCAGTGCAGCAGATTGGATCCAACCAGCAATTCTTAATAACACTACAATCCACCAATAATTACTTAATTGGCCCTTAATTAGTTTCAGATATATAACCCCTGCAGTAGAGGAAAAAACAAAAACAACAAAAAACTAATTGTCTGGGCATAGAGTGCTAAGAGGTGATTCACCTCCAGTGCACAGAGGGTTCAAGTCAAAACTTCCATTTCAGCTCAATAAGACACTGTACTGTGATGTAGAAACGGGGCAGAGGTTACAGATGAGCTACCATATCATTGGCTAGATCAGAACCCATCAGAGCATGATGAGTGGATATGAAAACTCAAATGATGGCTCTACTGAATGTGCCTAGCCATTTGGGTCTCGATTTCGTGTTGTACATTCAGAGCCTCAAACTGCCAATCTCTCCATCTCTGCTCATCACAGCTAACCTGGAATTGGAAGTAACATCAAGTAATGTGGTGGTTTGCCATTGTTTGTATTTGGGGATCAACAAGGAATAAGGACCAGGGTATGAGGGAGGGGGGGGGTAGAGTTAGATACAGCTTTCCATGACAGTAGCTGGTTTGCGTATGTAGAAAAAAAAATTACTGGCAAACAATTCCAGTTTATTAACACCAACCTCTTCTTGCTGTTTTCTGAACTGAGGACAATTGTGAGGTCCAAGAAAAGCCACATTTGAACAAAATCGCCACATATAAAGATGACAACACAAAGTATTCGAGGGGGGGTGAGTAAGGAACAGAAAACCCAAACCAAGACAGAACACCTCCCCCAAAAAATAAACCCCCTGAAAAATGTCTATATGCACAAATGTCCCCCATAAACCTGCCTTTACAGCCTCAAGACTCTTCATTGCTGTCGTAGAGCTAAAAACTCCAATGATTTTCCTTACATTGCCTCCTCATTCCCAACACATGGGCTCCAGCCATTCCCCAAGATCTTTTCCACAGAAACAATAGTCTTCCTCACAGTTTTAGCTCGTTGGCGATCTTCGAGGCGATGTTCTTGAAGGCGATGGAGGTTCCGGAGATCCTCTTGAAGCGCACCCCGTTGAGCGAGAGGCGAGGTAGCTTGCACACCTCCATCTCCCACTGGACGAAGTCGTCATGCGCGAGGCTGCCCGAAATGCAGAGGAGCATGAACCGCTCGCGCAGCTCGTACTCGCAGCTGTTGGAGTCCAGAACTTTCCGGATCTCCTTCATCATTTCATTGGGCTCCATGGAGGAGGTGGTCTTCATGCTCCAGGTGAAGCGGAGGGAGCGTGGCTTGGTGTCCTTGGAGGCCTGGGTGGACGAGGGTGTGCTGGACACTGGAGAAGAGGAAGAAAAGTAGTCCTTGTTTTCGTCGCCAGGCAGTCCTTGGGTACCCTTCTCCATCTTGTCTGCAGTGCTCAACATGGGTCTTCGGTGAAAACGATGAGAGGAGAAGCACATACAGGAAAATGAAGGTGAACATGAGGAAGACAAGGAAATGATAACAGATAGAAGAAGCTTAGTTCTAGTCCTGCTTTAACACGTTTAAAACTTTCAGTCAACATGATTATGATCATCAACACAAAACACCAACATGGTGCTATGGTGGAAGACTACAATGCAGTCAAAACATCAGCATCCACTAATTGGACATCTGTAAGGGGCTTTGGGGGTAAAAACAAAAACAACAAAAAAGTACATAAAAATAAAACATTTAGAAAGTTTAGAATTTTTAAATTAATTTATTACGGACCCATTTTCAGATACTAAGAAATTCTTGCATGTAAATGAAAGAAATACACTACTGTTGAAAAGTTTGGGGTCAGTAAAATTTGAAGGAATTAATACTTTTATTCACCAAGGAGGCATTGAATTGTTTAAAGGTGACAGTCAAGATATTTCTAATGTTAGAAAAACATTTCTACTTCAAATAAATGCTGTTCCTTCAAACTTTTTAGTCACCAAAGAATTCTGGAAAAAAAGTATCAGTTTCCACAAAAATATTAACTGTTTTAACATTGATAAGAAATGTTTCTTGAGCGCCAAATCATTACACTAGAATACTTTCTGAAGGATCATGTGACACTAAAGACTGGAGTAACAGCTGCTGAAAATTCAGTTTTGCCATCATAGAGAATACTTCATTTTAAAATATATTTTAATTATAAATTTGTAATATTTCACAATATTACTGTTTTACTGTATTTCTCATCAAATAAATGCAGCCTTGGTGAGCATAAAAGACATTTCAAAAACATTTTAAACATCTTACCAACCCCAAACTTTTGAACTGTAGTGTACATTTGATTTTGTCTCGTATTGCAAGTCACCCAATGATTTAAAAGAAAAATGCCCAATTTAAGCTTCAAGTGACTCCACACTCAAACGGAATAATGAATAATTCTATTTAAAAAAATGTCTTGGTAAGTAATGATTCAGTGATTGGAGTAGTACGCTTCTGTAGATAAATGATTTTTATTAGTCAGTCGTTGTCCTCACCTGCTGGCCTCATCTCGACCCTCTCCCTCATACGGACTCCTCAAAGAAAACCAACAAGTTTAGTCCCTCAATTCAAGTTATCTTATTGCTGCTAGCTAAGTATTAGTCCTGTTCACGTAGATTTTGGTATCAATACCTAATTATGCTAAAAAAAATTGAAGCAAAATACATAAAGCGTCTGTTTACAGTCCCTTCACCAACTTCTTGACCATTTAATTTTAAACTCTGAACCTTGGGATCAACACACACTCACATAAGCCACTCTGTATTTAGCCTAAGAACAAATGAGCAGACATGTGGCAGTCTGTGTTAAAGTGCACATTTTTACAAGATGCAGTCAGGTAATGCAAGAGTATATAACATTTTAAATGACCCCAAAAGGAATGAAAGCGAATTTCAAATCTTAATTGAAACCTAAGCACAAAATTCAGTATAATGCCTAGAGCAAAACTACCAGAGGTCCTTCTAAACTTAAATTCCCAATCTTGTCTGTCAGATATGAAATGTATAAAACATGTATATCTGGTTCATTTTCTCATGTGTGCATTGTACAGCTGAACAAGTGACTTCAGTGAGATGTGTGTTGAATGATGCAGTCGGACGGGGAGACCAGCCACCTCCAAAAGAGCGCAGCACGAGAACGAAGCCTGTTTTAGTGCAGCCATATAAAAATAAGCAGTAGACCATAAGAGGAGAGAAGCAGGCGTCACCCTTTACAACCCTCACCATGAAAACACGACTGACATCCTCTATTGACCCTGTCTGGCTGTGCGCTTCTGTGCGACAGAATTTTCATTTTGGGCTGAGCTATCCCTTTAATCTTTATTTTCCCCCGCATATAAGCATTGATCAATGCACATACATGGAGCACATCAAATATGGCAAACATGCTTGCTTTGGTGAAATGGACTTTGAATAAAGGGACTGAAATTTTTCCAGCTGCATTAAAAATACATTCATGTTTCAAAGATGAACAAAAAACTTATTGGTTTGGAACGACATGAGGGTGAGTAAATCATGACCATTTTCATTTTTGGGTCAACTAATGCTAAAAATACTTATAGTAACGGTTCTCAAAATGATTTGCATTTTGTAGTGAGTCAGTTAAGAACAGCTCA